GAAGTAGAAGTACAAGGCTGGGATGTACCCCCCTGAGATAAGCACGTCCAACAAGCCTTCAGTCACCAGCAACAGCGGACAATGCCACGGGACTCGCAGGACACCCAGAGCAATGAAGAGGCAGCAGAGGGCCATGAGGGCTCCACTGCAGGCCATTGCCGCAGTGACCGTGGGCAGCTTTAGCTGGTAGAACTGGACATCCAGCTGCTGGGCTTTCTCCCCATCAGCACCATCAAAGCCACTGTAAGCCCCTCCGAACTGGTAGTAGTAAATGCCCCCTAAGCTGGTGATGCCCGTGTAGCCCCCTGTGGAACTGTAAGACACAGAGCTGCAGGCCAGGATCAGCAAGTTCAGGAGAACCTCCAGCATTTGGCAGCAGGCTGCAAAAAAAGGGTGTTACCATTTTTGAGTGATGCTGTTTGGCACCAGGAGACTCTTCCACCTGAGGCCCACCTTCCGCACAGGGCTCAGACCCCTGTAGGCTTCTGCCCCTGAGGAAGGCCCAAGGTCAAAGCAGCATGATTAAAACTAGAGGGTAGCAGGGAACTGTGGTCTCCAGAAACGGTGCCAGAAATACTATGGACTCAGAGGGGTGACTCTCAAAAGAGCAAAGCAGTCTGCCCTGAGAGAGGGACAGGAGGATGGTGGGAGAGATCAGGCCAGTGAGCAGAAACAAAGCCATCCTGGATGGAAGGACAAGAACATGCCACCTCCCAGCACCAGAAAGATGAAACAAGGCTGGGCGTGGTGGCTCACGCCTATAATCCCAGCACATTGGGAAGCCAAGGTGGGAGGATTGCTTGAGCCCAGGAGTTTGAGACCAACCTGGGCAACATAGTGATACCCCATCTCTAATTAAAAAAAAAAAAAGACTGGGTGCGGTGGCTCACGCCTATAATCCCAGCACTTTGGGAGGCCAAGGCAGCTGGATCATTTGAGGTCAGGAGTTTGAGACCAGCCTGGCCAACATGGTGACACCCCATCTTTACTAAAAAATACAAACATTAGCCAGGCGTGGTGGTAAGCACCTGTAGTCCCAGCTACTTGGGAGGCTGAGGTAGGAGAATCGCTTGAACCTGGGAGGTAGAGGTTATAGTGAGCTGAGATCGTGCCACTGCATTCTAGCCTGGGCGATACTCTGTCTCAAAAAACAAAAACAAGCAACAACACAAAAAACTAAACAAGTTATCTCCTTTTTTTTTGAGACAAGGTCTCACTCTGTCGCCTAGGCTGGAGTACAGTGGCACGATCACGGCTCACTACAGCCTTGACCTCCTAGACTCAAGCAATCGTCCTGCCTCAGCCTCCCACATAGCTAGGACTACAAGTACATGCTGCTGGGCCTAATTTTTGTATTTTTTTGTGGCATAGGTCTTGGTGTGTTGCTTAGGCTGGTCTTGAATTCCTGGCTTCAGGTGATCCTCCTGCCTTGGCCTCCCAAAGTACTGGGATTACAGGTGTGAGCCACTGCGCTGGTCATTATCTCCTCTTTATATATGTTTGTGGTGAATACAATTTGTAAAGGGAAAGTTCTCCAAGTCTGAAGAAAATCACAGAGCTTAAAAAATACAATAATTCAGAAAAAAAGCATGGAAGTTACACATCAAAATGTTAACCGTGGTTCATGTATTAGAAATAAGAAAAATTGGCCAGGCGCAATGGCTCACACCTGTAATCCCAACACTTTGGGAGGCAGAGGCAGGCAGATCACCTGAGGTCAAGAGTTCGAGACCAGCCTGGACAACATGGTGAAACCGTGTCTCTACCAAAAATACAAAAATTAGCCAGGTATGGTGGTGCATGCCTGTCATCTCAGCTACTCAGGAGGCTGAGGTGGAAGAATCTCTTGAACCCAGGAGGTGGAGGTTGCAGTGAGCTGAGATTGCACCACTGTATTTCAGCCTGGGTGACAGAGTGAGACTCTGTCTCAAAAAAAAGAAACAGAAAAAATTAAGTTAATTAAACCCTTAGTGCTTACTGAATTAAAAAAAATTTTTGTTTTACTGTTCTTAGACTTTAACTCATAAGTATGTCTTAATGTTTAATGCTGTTTTATTTAGTTCCCTAAAGAGTGTATCTGGGCTGTGATATTTTCCCAGAGCTGGATTTTTCCCGGGCCCTTGGCTTCTTTATCTTGGAAAAGGAAAACTGGCCGCTTTCCTTAAAATAAACCTTAGCGAAATATAACTTATATGCAACAAAACGATCCACATTAAGCATACAGCTTGATGAGTTTTGACAAATGTGTGTGCCACGTATCCATAATCAAGACACAGAACATTCTCATTAGCCCAGAAATTTCCCTAGTGATGCTTTGTAGTCAATCCCTCACTTTCCTTGTCAGCAAACCACTGATCTGCCCTCTCTCATTAGAATCTAGTTCTGCCTTTTCTAGAATATCATATAAATGGAATCATACAGTTATGTGCTTTTATGTGTGTGGCTTCTTTTGCTCAACAACATATAAGCTGGGTGCTTCTGAGCTGGAAATTGTACATGCTGCCAACACCGGCCTGTCAATATCCCCCTGATGTTTGATAACCAGATTTTATGCCTGGTTCCAGTTGGTCTATTCATGAAACCAAGCTACACATTGTGTCATTGAAATGATGATGCTCTCTCAAGTGTGATCTTTATACTGTATAATTTTCCCCCAGAATGCAAACAACATTATTGTTTTTTTTGTTTTTTTGTTTTTTTTTTTTACACTCTCTCATCATTTTATGTATGAAAGTTATACAGCCAGGTGTGGTGGCTCATGCCTGTAATCCTAACAGTTTGGGAGGCCGAGGTGGGCGGATCATGAGGTCAGGAGTTCAACACCGGCCTGGCCAACATGGTGAAACCCTGTCTCTACTAAAAATACAACATTTAGCTGGGCATGGTGTCATGTGCTACCTCCTAGCTACTTGGGAGGCTGAGGCAGAAGAATTGCTTGAACCGGGACCTGGAAGGCAGAGGTTGCAGTGAGCTGAGATCATGCCACTGCACTCTAGCCTGGGCTACAGAGCTATACTCTGTCTCAAAAAAAAAAAAAAAAAAAAAAAAAAAAGATAGTTATACTTACTTGTAACAACAAAAAAAAGAAAATGTGGACTTAAGAAAACATGCAATGTAACAATTGCCTATAATAACAACCAATTAAAAAAAATCACTGTGAATATATTTTTTCCTGAACTTTATGCATATATTCATAATTTTTTTTGTTTGCTCTCAATAAGAACACAGTCCTCTGGATATCTTACTGTACTTCTCTGAAGCTCAGGAGTTGTTGACAGAATTACAGGCCATGAGGTTGTGCAATATCTGCAACTGGAGTAATGATCCTTGTACGTGCATCACCCAGAGCCCTTTCCTCAAAGTTCCTATAATCCTATAATCATATGCATCTTTGGAATCACCCTGAGATTACATTGTCAGGTATGAGCTCCATGAGTTCTCTCCCTTGGGCTGGAACGTTTTCTCCCTTAGTCATAGTAAACCTAGAAACATTTCTCACCAAATCATGTGACCTGTAAGCTCTCACCCAGACAAACCAGATTTTCTTCATTGCTGGCAAGGCCAAGACCGCTAGAATGGGGAACCTGGGGACGCCACATTTGGGGTGGATACATGATAGGATGAAAGTGTTTTTCAGACTGTGGGTCCTAAATAAGTATGGTTTTTTTTTGTTGTTGTTGTTTTTTTTTTTTTTTTTTTTTTTTTGAGACGGAGTCTGGCTCTGTCGCCTGGGCTGGAGTGCAGTGGCCGGATCTCAGCTCACTGCAAGCTCCGCCTCCCGGATTTACGCCTTTCTCCTGCCTCAGCCTCCCGAGTAGCTGGGACTACAGGCGCCCGCCACCTTGCCTGGCTAGTTTTTTGTATTTTTTTTTTAGTAGAGACGGGGTTTCGCCGTGTTAGCCAGGATGGTCTCGATCTCCTGACCTCGTGATCCGCCCGTCTCGGCCTCCCAAAGTGCTGGGATTACAGGCTTGAGCCACCGCGCCCGGCCATAAGTATGGTTTTTAAAAAATGATGAATGGGATAGAAAATATCAGAGTACTTGGTAGATAATAGGGTCCGTATGGTTTCACAACATTTTTGTTTGTGTGTGTGAACTCGGTCTTAATGTAAAAAAATATATATTTAACAACCTTGTGAATATGTGTGTGTATATATATACATATATATATATATTTTAATTTTTAAATTCATTTTTTTGAGATGGAGTCTCACTCTGTCACCCAGGCTGGAGTGCAGTGACATGATCTCTGCTCACTGCAACCTCCTCCTCCCAGGTTCAAGCAATTCTCCTCCTCACCACGTTAGCCAGGCTGGTCTTGAAGCCCTGACCTCAAGTGATCCACCCACCTTGACCTCCCAGAGTGTTGGGATTACAGGCGTAAGCCACTACACCAGCCTTTTTTCCTTTTTTTTTTCTTAAACTAGAGATGGGATATTGCTGTGTTGCCCAGGTTGGTCTCAAACTTGTGGGCTCAAGAGATCCTCCTTCCTGGGCCTTCCAAAGTGCTGGGATTACAGGCATAAGCCACCATGCCTGGCCTCAGTCAATAAAGTTAAAAAGCCACTGATCAAGTGTTGGGCGTCAGATCTTCAAGGAGAACAGGTGCTGCAACTTGGCTGCCCACGCCAGGTGATTTTCCCTCTCTGTTAATTCAGCCGCCTCGCCAGAAGATACCTCCTCTGACAGCTGGCAGCTCATAGCCAGTTCCACCTATAGGCCTCTGCACTTCCACCTGGAGTCTGAAAGCTGCAAACATGGCTGCTTGCCTCTGCAAACCCAGGGCACGTTTAAGGAGAAACACAGGAAATCTAGCAGCACTTTTGAGACGTTCTACTTTTTTTTTTTTTTAAGAAAACAAGAACCTCACAAGTACAGAAATGAAAATGCTAGGAACCCACAAGGGAATGTGCTTAAATTTTTGCTTCACCAGCTCAGACCATTCCTTCCAGAACCACCAGTGACAGTAAATGATTGAACAGCCTGCAAAACAGCTCACCTCTCCCAGTGCACAAGTATTTGCATTTATGGCATTCCAGGAGTCCTTCTGCCTCTGACTGGTAATATTCCACCTCCTCTCGTCCAGGCCTGGGGGTCGAGGGCAGATATCTCCCCGAAGGGGGTTCACTATAACCAAAAAACATACATGGCCATTAGGAAATCTCTCATTCAATAATCTCTCATTCAATAGTGTTCAGGATTAGAACCCTTGACTCCTTGTGCTGGGCCCAAACATTAAAGACTATGCAGAACAGAAATAGAATTTGTCCCAGTATTTTAAACTCCAGAGAATTCTCTGGTTTAGCGGCCCCACAGGACATCCGAATACTTGGCCCAACTCTGCTAGCTAACCACGTGACAGATGCTGTGCTCTGCACCCCTGAGCACTACCTTTGATGGTTTGTCTGCCCCTGGGAGCTGTCTAACCAGGTAGCTGCGAGCTGCCTTCCTGTGAGTGTGAGTTCTCAGTTCAGCATGCACCAGGAGTCTTCAAAACCAGTTTGCATTCACATGACTCCGATGCCCATCACATTATTTCTTCCCCTGCCAACCCTAGCATTTTCTGTCCCTTCTCTGCTCGCTTTATGCAGCATATCCTAGGCTTTGTCTGAGATTCAACAGGGGGCTGCATTCTACTTGCTGGGCTCCCACAGTCTTTCTAGAACATCATGTCTCTCTTAGGTTTGAAATTTTAAAAACTTTTAGCATGCTCAGGAGGCCCCTGTTCATCTCACTACACTCACGACCTTGGGCTCACAGACCCAGCCATAATGAACTATCCTCTTCCCCTCAAAAGATGACCGCTTTCCCATGGCTCTGGGTTACTACAGAAGCTATTCTGCTTGGGACACCTTTCCTCTTTCTCCCGAGTCTTGCTTTTTTTTCTTTTTCTTTTTTTTTGAGATGGAGTCTCACTCAGTCACCCAGGCTGGAGTGCAGTGTAGCAATCTCAGCTCACTACAACCTCCACCTTCCGAGTTCAAGCAGTCCTCCCACCTCCGCCTCCCGAGTAGCTGGGATTACAGGCATGTTCCACCGCGCTCGGCTAATTTTTTTGTATGTTTAGTAGAGATGGGATTTCGCATTGTTGGCCAGGCTGGTCTCGAACTCCTTACCTTCAATGATCCACCCGCCTCGGCCTCCCAAAGTGCTGGAATTACAGCCGTGAGCCACCACATCCGCCTGGCACACTGGTTTTTAAAGAAACCTAAAAATGCAGCTCTGGATTCTCCCAGGTCCTGCAGTTGCAGTGCAATGGGCTTTAGTCAGGGAAACAACAGCGGTTTCCCTGGGCGCAGCTTTGACTGTATCTGGGCGCACCCTTTGTCATGCTAGTTGGTTTTAGATAATGTAACATAAACTCAGGATAGGAGCTCTCTCGCTGTGTGGACATAGCAGGGAGAGAGACTGGGCTCAGCCGCCAGGTCCCCGGGAGAGGGGAGCCTGACTCCTCCCCCAGAGAAGAGGCCAGGTGTCAAAAACCAGAAAACCAGAAGCAGTCTCACCCCAACCTGTCTCCTGTTGGAGCCGGCAGTGGCGATGTCGCGTCTGCTCACGGTTCACCGCGGGGGGCACATTATCTGCGTATTCAATGGATGGAAAAAAACACCAGGTCCCCTCTTGTCTTCCCTTCCACCCCCACCTTCCCCTAGCTCAGAGTCTTCCAGTACACCCTGAACCTTTCTCCTTACAAGGGGCTTATGGGAATTCTGTGCGAGGCAGAATTCTGTGCAAAATTTTTTTTATTAGGAGGGTGGGGTCTCAAGCAGCCGTGGGATTCGAATGACGCTGCTTAGAGAGACCTCACTGGCAAAAGGGAAAACAAACCTGTACCCTTCAGTGGGGGAATTTTACGTAGACTTAGTTCTTTGGTTAAAAATGTAGCGTCTCCTGCCTTTTTTTTTTTTTTTTTTTTTTTTTTTTTTGAGACGGAGTCTCCCTTTGTCGCCCATGCTGTAGTGCAGTGGTAGGATCTTGGCTCACTGCAACATCCGCCTCCCGGGTTCACGCGATTCTCCCGCCTCCGCCTCCCAAGTAGCTGGGACTACAGGCAGCCGCCACTACGCCCGGCTAAGTTTTTGTAGTTTTAGTAAAGACGGGGTTTCACCATGTTGGCCAGGCTGGTCTCGAACTCCTGGCCTCAGGTGATCCGCCCGCCTCGGCCTCCCAAAGTGTTGGGATTACGGGCGTGAGCCACCGCGCCGGCCCATCTGTTTTTGAAGGCCCATGTTCCTGGGAGGGGTAACATATTAAACTATTAACTCTTCATTGGACTTCCCAAGTGGGCGGCCCGGCCACAGGTAAGGGGACTTTGGAGTCGGGAAGGGCTGGCTCTGGAACACGGGACAAGGGTCTGAACCCCAAGGCGCAGTCCTGTGACCATGCGGGGCGGGGCGGGCCGGGGAGGAGCCTGGGGTGAACCCCACCCGCCTGGTCTCCTCCCACCCCTCCCTCTCCGGTCCCGGGCCTCTCTTTCTCTCCTCCAGGCCCTCCAGTCCGGCCACTGCTCACACGGGGGGGTTTTGCTTTGTTAATTGGGTTCAGGCCACAAGAAAGGGGAACCCTAAAGTTTTCCTTCCCTGCCAGGTCGCCTCCGAGAGCGCAGAAGGGAGAAACGGCATTTGTTCCTTTAAACGGGCTCCTAGAACGAGAACCGGGGGACGCCAGGGCCTCGTGGGCCGGCCTGGGCCGCAGGCGTCCCCGGCGCGGAGGTCGCAGCGCCCCGGCCCCTCTCACCTTTCGGGTCCTCGGTACCCGGGGCCCCCCTTCCTGTGTGTCTGCGGCGGCTCCGGGGCTTCCCAGGGCGCGGGCCCAGGAGGCGCGGCTGAGTCCCAGGTTGGTCCCCGGGCTCCGTCCCGCGTCCGGCTTTGGCGCGGCTTTTCCCAAACTCTGTGTTCACCTGCGCGAGGGCCCGCGTCCCTGTGTCTGTCCCTGCGGGGGCCTCGGTCCGGGTCTCTCTTCCTCTCCCTCTCCCGGTCCCGATCCCGGTTTCGGTCCCTCTCCTGGTCTCTCTCCCGGTCCCGGTCCCGGTCCCGGTCCCTTCGCCGGTTCCCGTCGCTGCTTTGCTCCCTGCGCGTGTCCCCGGGTCGGTCCCGCTGTCGATCGTGGGCGCGGTCTCGGTCCGGGTGGTGGCGCCGTCCCGGGTCCCGCTCTCTCGGCCGGGCCCGGGGCTCGCGAGCCCCCGACGGATCTTCCATGGCCCGGTTCCGTGTTCCCGCCCGGGAGCGACCCGAGGGCAACAACCAACAAGTTTCCTGGGCAGGTGGCCAAACCAGGGGGCGGGGCGGGCACTCACCTGTGCGCGTGCGCGCTAGTCCGGGGGCGCACCTGAGCACGGGCGCCGTCAGGGGGCGCCCTGAGCGCGGCTGGGGCCAGGGCAGGAGGGGTGCCTGTGTGCTGGGTGGGGGCTAGGGTGCTGCTGCTGGAAACTCGGGCGGGGCGACCCACAGCCGCGGCTTTCTGTCCCGAAGTAACCCCTTGGTGACCCCACAAGGTGGGCGGCCTAGGGGAGCCAACTGTGGCCACCTCCCCTGGCTCAACTTACACAATAACTTGGATTTACCTTCCCAGAACGTACCCATCCTCTCACTCACTCAGCCAGCCATCCATTCATTCACCTACCCACCCACTACCCGCTCATCCACTCACCCACCCATCCACCCACTCACCCACCCATCGACCATCCATCCATACCTCCACCCACTCACCCACCCATCAACCATCCACCCATCCATCCATCCCTCACCCACTCACCCACCCATCAACCATCCGCCCATCTATCCATCCCTCCACCCACTCACCCACCCATCCAACCATCCACCCATCCATCCACCTATCCTTCCACCCACCAACCCTCCATCCATCCATTCATCCACCCATCCACCCACTCACCCACCCATCCACCCACCCACTCACCTGCCCATCCACCCACCCACCCACTCACCTATTCACCCACACCCACCCTCACTCACCCATTCACCCACTCACCCACCCATCCACTGTCACCCACCCTTCCACCATCCATCCACCCCCCATCCACCGTTCATCCACCCACCCACTCACCCACCCATCTACCAACTCACCCATCCATCAACCCATTCACCCATCCAACCACCATTCATCACTCCACCCATTCATCTATCCATCCACACCTCATTCACCCATCTACCCATCCATCCATCTGGCCCTCCCACCTACCTACATCCACCCCCCACTGCCCCACCTTCCACCTCTCCCTCCACACCCATCCACTGTCCCCCCCCCACTCACCCACCATCCACCTCTCCCTCCACCCATCCACTGTCCCTCTTTCTCCCTTCTTCTCCTGTTTTCCTTATACCACCTATGTTGTAAGGGGCTTTCAGCCAGTTCATCTATTACAATAGTTCTGGGCTTACAAATAGCCCTGTTTTTTAAAAATGGGGACTTACAAAATTGGCAGCTTTTAATTCTGCCAAGTAAGGATATTACAAAATATATACAATTGCCATCTGGTAATTAATTCTTTCAGCAAATATGTATGAGCACTTCCTTTAGCAAGTACTGGAGATATAGTGTAAACTTTGCAGGGTGATTCCATTCTAGGGTTTCAGGAAATGGAAAACAGGTAGTAAACAAAGAAATAAGACAGTGTCTAAAGTTTAATGGGCAGGGCAGATTTCCTTATATAGACCTGGGAATATGTCATTTGAATTGAGTTCTGGATGACAAGAAGGCTGAGAAAATGTCCCAGAAAGAGAGAAGGTTGAGGAACGCAGGAGCTGGACAAGGAGGTCCCTGGGAGTATAGTTGTTGAGCACGAAATGTTGCTGGAGAAGTGGACCAGGCAGATGGTGTAGACGACAACAGTGTGCGTTTCTATTCTAAACAATGGGAGAACATTGAAGATTTTGAGGGGAGAGTAACTGTTTCTGACTGATATGTTTGAAAGACCACTCTGGCTTCTGTGAGGAGGATGGATGATGGGGGCCCACAGCAGAGGGAAGAGATGAGTTATGAAGCTGCTGAAGGAGTCCAGGTGAGGGTGACGGTGGCCATGGAGACAGTGACAAGTGGACAGGTCTGGGTTGTAGTTTTGGGGAAGAATTTATAGTATGGATCGGATGTGGGGGAATGAGGGGAAGGGAGGAGTGACCAGGTTGATGGTGGGGTTTTTTTACTGAGACAAGGGAGACTGGATAGAACCAGGTTTCTGGGGACATTAGAGAGTTCCATTTTGAACATGCTAAATTTGAGATGGCTATCATTCATCCAAGTGTAGATATCTAGTTGCAGTTGAATATATGAGTCTGAAATATGGGGAGAGGGTTGGGCTGGAGATGCTCCATGGGAGTAGAGAAAGAGAGAAAGTAAAATGGAAAAGAGACTTTGGGCAGAGCCCCCAGGGAATTCTAACTTTTAGAGCTAAGACTCAAGAGGATTAAGAAGTAATGAGTTAGTAGACCGGAAACCAAGAAGGTGGGGGTGACCAGACATCAACCTCCAACCCACAGAAGTGCTGCTGTGAGCCCTGAGCCTTTCTTCCCAGAGTGGAGAGGATGGGGCCAAATTCTAGGACCTTCCACAATCTTTATTGAGCAAAGTCCTGTTCTGAGCCCGGGACAACTATGGATGCAGAGGAAGCGTGGTGAACAAGCAGACACAGGATAGTTTGTGGAACGGCATAGCCATTCCTCTCTTATACCTTCCGTCTTGACCTCTGCAGACCTCTTTCAGAATAAACAAATCCTCAAACCAGCTTGCCTTTTTTTTTGAGACAGAATGTTACTCTGTCGCCCAGGCTGGAGTGCAGTGGCACCATCTCAGCTCACTGCAACCTCCGCTTCCTGGGTTCAAGCGATTCTCCTGCCTCAGCCACCTCAGTAGCTGGGATTACAGGCGCGCGCCACCACGCCCAGCTAATTTTTGTATTTTCAGTAGAGACAGGGTTTCACCATGTTGGTCAGGTCTCGAACTCCTGACCTCATGATCCGCCCACCTCAGCCTCCCAAAGTGCTGGAATTACAGGCATGAGCCACCGTGCCCAGCCCCAGCTTGCCTTTTAGTTTCATTTCTCTTTGTTTTGTATCTTTATATGCAAATTATTATCATTTTGCCACATTTATTCCATCTCTATATGGATGTAAACTTTAAAAAATGAAACATTTGTGCTAAATTCCAGACACATGGCTCTCCCCCTAAATACTTCAATATGTTTTTCCAAAGAATAACTTCCTCCCACACAGCCAGATTACAGTGAGCACAATCCAGAAATTTAGCATCGATATAATATTATCAAATATATCCTCTATAACCCAATTCCCTTATTATCCCAATAATGTCCTTTATATATACTCTCTCCCCACTTAAAATCCAAGGATTCAATTAAGGATTATTCATGATATGTGAATAATGCATTGTCATGTCATCATCATCATATCTGTTTAGTCTCCTTTAAGTCTCCTTCAATCAATAAGTTTCCCAACAGTTTTTTTCTTTTTCACGAAAGCATTGATTTTTTTTTTTTTTTTTGAGACAGAGTCTCACTCTGTGGCCAGGCTAGAGTGCAGTGGTGCGATTTCAGCTCACTGCAACCTCTGCCTCCTAGGTTCAAGCAATTATCTGCCTCAGCCTCCCAAGTAGCTGGGACTACAGGCGTGTACCACCATGCCCAGCTGATTTTTGTATTTTTAGTAGAGACCGGGTTTCATCATGTGGGCCAGGCTGGTCTTGAACTCCTGACCTCATGATCCACTGGCCTCTGCCTCCCAAAGTGCTGGGATTACAGGTGTGAGCCACTGTGCCGGCCTGCTTAGGTAATCTCTAAGAAGCTTGAGGCTTTCTCTACAGCTGTCCTCTCCTGATCCCTCGCCAGAACTGCCCTTTACAGTATGTTTATGGCAATATAGGATTTTTCTAGTGTGCTCTTCCAAACTCTTCTAACCTCTGGCCACTACCTAGTTCCAAAGCTGCTCCCACATTTTTAGGTATTTGTTACAGCAGCACCCCACTTCTCCTACCAATTTCTGTTCAGTCCATTTGGGCTGCTATAACAAAATACCATAGACTGGATAATTTGTAAAGACAGAAATTTATTTCTCATAGTTCTGGAGACTAGGAAATCCAAGATCAAGATGCTAGCAGCTTTGGTGTCTGATGAGGGCCTGTTCCTCATAGATGATGGCTTCTAAGTGTCCTCACATGGTAAAAGGAGCAAGGAAGCTCCCTTCAACCTCTTTTATAAGGGACACGGATTCCATTCATGAAGGCAGAGCCCTTATTACTTCATTGCTTTCCCCAAGGCTCTGTCTCTTGATACTATCACATTGGGTATTGGGTTCCAACACATGAATTTTGGGGAACACTGACATTCAGACCATAGCATACCCTTTCCAAGTCAGGTGGCCCTCTGTTGGGTGGCAGGCAATTCCCCAGAGAAGGAACAGCTGTGACTTGCTGTCAGTCAGTGTCATCGTGGCTGGGGGATGGGTATATCAGCAGGCAAAGGGGATGCAGAGCCCCTCTCAACAAATGATCATTGCAATGATTTCCTTGTGAATTGTTCTAGGGTTCGATTCACATAAATACAAGCAGAACAAATCTATATACACTTCTTCCCAATTCACACAAAAGTTAGTATAGTTTTCTCTGTTTTCTGCCTTGCTTTTTTCATGTAATTTTCTGAAGATCTTTTCATATTGGTAAAGAAAAAAGTTCCTCATTCTTTTTTTCAAGCTGCATAGTACCCTGCTGTATGAATGTAGCATAATTTATTTAATTAGTCCTCTGTTGATAGACATTTGGATTATTTCTAATCTTTTGCTACTATAAAGCTGTATGAATGACCTTGTGTGTTATTTTGCATTCTCACATGTGCATCTGTGGTGTAAATCTCCAAAAGTTTAATGTCTTAAAAGTGACCTAGCCATCCAAAGGTGGGAGAATCACTTGAATCCGGGAGGCAGAGGTTGCAGTGAGCTGAGATCGCGCCATTTCACTCCAGCCCAGGAGACACAGCAAAACTCTGTCTCAAAAACAAAAAAAAAAGAGCCTGATGTATCTGTAGCCTCAGTGGTGAGCATGGCAGGGCTTGGAATGGAGTGAGTCTTTAATGAAATGGTGAAGGGACCAGTGGTTAATGTCTAAAAAGTGACCTAGACATTAACTTGTTTGTTTGTTTGTTTTTGTTTTTTTTTGAGACTGAGTCTCACTCTATCGCCCAGGCTGGAGTGCAGTGGTGTGATCTCGGCTCACTGCAACCTCCACCTCCGGGGTTCAAGTGGTTCTCC